ATAAGTCTTTTATAATTATTTTTTAAATTTATAATCTAAAGGTAAAATAAAAAAATATTTATTATTCAAATTGATATTAACTACAATATTTGTAATCTTCTTTTATCTTATTTGATTTGATTATTAGTCTATAATTTATATTTTTAAATAATTAATTAAAATGTTTAGAGATATCAATACATAAATTAATTTCTAGCTGGCATTAACTATTTATAGCAACCAAATTAAATAAAGACAAAAAGCAATTTTATAAACACACTGATGGAATGATGGTCAAATGGAACCACCTAGTCATGGTGGCTGGTGTTTCTTGTTTCTTTCTCTTCAAAAATTGAATTTCTCCTCTGATCCACGGAACAAAAAGAAGAGATACTAGCTATTCTTTTATAAAAATAATTTTGGAATAATTTTTTATATTATTTTTTATATAATTTAGTATATTATTTAAATAATTAATTTTTTATTATAAAAAATTTATAATATTAAATATATCTATTAATATAAAAATTTTATTAAAAAAATAAAGTAAAATAATTATTTCTACAACGTCGCTATTCTTTCTATCGTGGACTATCACATCAATGGAAATAATAGGGAACCTAATTCAATGATTTTTAACTTTTTGATCACCAGTTGGCAGTTGCCATCTGTTCCTGATTCCCGTTCATCATTTATGTGCAAAATTTAAAAGAAATGAAAAAAGATAAGATATTTAATAATTAAAATATTAAAAATAATATAAAATTTAAGTATCTTTACTAAATTAAAAATAAAATTCATTAAATATCAAGATGTATTGATTAAAATTTCAATGATGTTGTGATTATAATATTATATAAAATTATAAAATTAAGTTTCGTTTAGTAAAGTTGTAGTTTAAGTTTTTAATTTTGATTTTTATAAATTTTTGTAATTATTAAAAATCAAAATAAAAAATAAAAAATAAAAAATTAAGGATTTCTGTAAATATATTTTAACACTTTCAAGTAAAATATAAATTTATTTAATAATATTAAAATTATTTTTAGTAGTTTTATAATAATTTTAATAATATATTATAAAAACACATAAAAATAAACAAATTTTTATTTAAAATTACAAAATTTATAAAAATTAAAATTATACTAAATAAAACCATATAATTTAAATAAAAATAGCCAGTTATATTGTTCTATAAGCTTAAAAATTAAAATACCACAATTGCGTTGTAATTAGAATTCTTTCCTAAGTTTCCTTATTTTCTGGTGGAGAAATACTTCCTTTTCTGATTAAAATTTCCTGTTCTGGTAGAGAAATCATAGGAGAGTATTATCTTTCTGCTTTATTTGGCTTAATTTAATAAATTATCTATTAATTATTACATTTTTTTTTCATTTTAGTCTAAATACTTTTTTTTTTTTAGAATCATCTATTAACTTTTAAAACTGTTTCATTTTCATCTACTCCACGTAACTCAGTTAACAGAGTTAATGAAATTCTACATATGGGATCACGTGCTGCCATGTAAGCAGCCACACAGCAGGAGCAAATTTCCAGCAGCATTTTTTCTCTTTCTTTTTTTGTTTTTTTATCACATCTCAAGAGCAAATTTACCACAACATTGTTT